TAACACGACACATAAACCGTTAATATGAATAAATCATGTGCATAACAAATAATAAAATATATCTTACCTTAAGGAATGGATAGTACTTAGGATTGTGCCGAATCTGAGGTGGAACAATATTGAAATCAGGAGGTCTGATAATATGGACACCAAGTCTACAAACAGCCTTCAAGACACGATAAAAGTAAAAATGGATAGTATGGCCTGAATGTTGGAACCTCTCAGCTACTATTCGAATTCTCTCATTATGAGATATAATTAGTAAGAATATAGCCACTTGTTCTTGAACTGTCACATACCTAGAGTTATTCAAATTCCCTTTACTTTTTAGGTCCTCACAAAATAACACAAACACGTTAGGGTCCATCCTGAACTGATCATAGCACCTATCTTCATGTTCATTAATTAATTCTAAGACATAGTCATGAACCCTAAGTTGAGATGTTCTACATGGTTGTTTTGAAGAGAGCCTATCAGGTTCCTCCATCAATAGTAACAGAACAATCTAGACAATATACTCCTCATCTTCTTCTTCCATCATTTCAATCAAATCGTCTGAGTTCATGATGCAATATAAAAAAAGAGTACCTAATGGAATATAAAAAAAGAGTACCTGATGGAATATAAAAAAAGAGTACCATTACATATAAATCCTAATTAAAGAAAGCATACATAACATAACATTTAAAGNATATACTCCTCATCTTCTTCTTCTATCATTTCAATCAAATCGTCTGAGTTCATGATGCAATATAAAAAAAGAGTACCTGATGGAATATAAAAAAAGAGTACCTGATGGAATATAAAAAAAGAGTACCATTACATATAAATCCTAATTAAAGAAAGCATACATAACATAACATTTAAAGAGTACCATTACATACAAATACTAATTAAAGAAACATACATAACATAACATAACATAACGTTTAAAAAGTACCATTACATATAAATCCTAATAAAAGAAAGCGTACATAACATAACATAATATTGTATGACACTATTGCAACCACAAGAACATCACAAATTCAGCACCACACCCCTCCTCCTACTTTCAGGCATTGAAAGAAACAACTTTCGCCACAATACATCATCACGCAACAGTTTAACACGTTTTGTGTAAGTTGCATCATCAATGTCTTCGAGAGAGTTCAAAGCAGTCATGCAAGCCTTCATCATNTTTCGCCACAATACATCATCACGCAACAGTTTAACACGTTTTGTGTAAGTTGCATCATCAATGTCTTCGAGAGAGTTCAAAGCAGTCATGCAAGCCTTCATCATGTCTTTATGTGGATCATCTGTACTGACTGAATCCCCTAAGGACTCCACAAAAGTTGATGGCTCACCACCACTTACCAATTTTTTCTCGTAGTAGTTTCCCCTAAGCTTAGCAGAATCGACTAACACAGTGAGTGCACTAGTAAANGTGGATCATCTGTACTGACTGAATCCCCTAAGGGCTCCACAAAATTCGATGGCTCACCACCACTTGCCAATTTTTTCTCGTAGTAGTTTCCCCTAAGCTTAGCAGAATCGACTAACACAGTGAGTGCACTAGTAAGGGCACGACCATAAGTTTCTCTCTTTGGTCGTCGGCTACTAGTTGGAGTGGTAGATCGGCTTCGGTTACGTTTCGTATCCACTGGGTTGTCATCATCATTATCATTACCTTCCTCATCTTTTGGGTCATACTTGGGATCATGTTCCTCTTCATTATCAAATGGGAGGTTTGGTTGATGGGTGAGCATGTTTACCGGTTGTTGTTGTGTCCTGGTAGATTCTACACAATGCCTCATAATGTGGGCAACCTTTTTTCCTGAATTTTTTTGCTCGCTTGTTGACCTATAAATAGATGAGTGATAGGAAACTAGTTAACAGTAGAATTTTTATATAAATTCTCATATAAGTAATAAACATTTTTATACCTTGATCAAATTGTCCCAAACATCATCTGAAAAAGTCACAACCCCTCTCTCTGGATCCCAACCAGCCCCTGTGGTGGTTGTAATTAGTTTGTGAAAATCCTTCCAAACTTGCCTTAGAGCATTAAATTTGTTCTTAAGTTGCTCATGGGTATATGCATAGCCAGTCCTTCGTTTCAACTCTTGAAGCATGTAGTTCCATGACTGTCGAGTGAAAGTAGTATTTGACCTATTTTTCAAGGCAACTTGCTCATCCATTAACTCAATAAAAATTGTCTCATTCTTAGTAGGCCACGGTTGATCAACTTTGGTTGGTTCAATTTCTATAACATTAGCATTATCCAAGTTCTTATTGACATTCACATTGACCATCTACATCCACAGACAATTATAATAATTTTTCAATACAAAGTATGGAAATCATGGATCTAACATGCATTTTTCATGCCCCCAAAAAATCAACAACTCATAATAACTAGCAATCTTCATTAAAACTAGCAATACAACACCAAAGAAAAAAAAATTAGCAATACAACACAAAAGAAAAAAAATTTCAAGCTTTCTAGAAAGAAATCTCAAGCTTTCTTCATGGAAGGCAAAAGAAAAGATACATAAATGACAGAAAGGGTTTAAATGAAAGAAAGGGTTTAAAAGCATATTTTGGGGTGGGAAAAAAATGAATTGCAGCTAGCCTCTCATTCATTCTTTTTTTCTCACCATTAAAAAAAAAATTATTTCCCAGTAAATAACCGATCATAATGGATACATGAATTTATGAACTAATGAAAAATCTGTACAGGGACCTAAGTTCAAATGACTAAATAATGGTTAAATGTAATGTTCACAAGATTGACATCATAAATAGATTCAAGACATTTCTTCAAACAAGAAAAGTTTCACATTTCTAACACAAATACAAAGTCACTAATAGGTGCATGCTGTCAAGCTCACCAATGATGGTAGAAAGATAGGTTAAGTCAAAAAAAAAAAATTGGTTAAGTCCAAAAAAAAAAAATTTTTAGAGTGAACATAATCACTTAACATACGTACAGGGAGCATAACTAACATACATGAGCCCCAATGAACTTGATAAAGCAAGGTTTTAAGGTGGCACAAGAGAACTGAGGGGGCGAAAGCAAAAGATAAAAGACAATCCAGTCCATGCTACCTTTATATTTACCAAGCTTCTTGTGGACCATACCTATCATCAAGTTTTATATGCAGCTGAATGATATAATATTTTTTAAACAAAACAAAGACATATGTGGACATTTGGGGGATTCCAAGTTACTCAGTAAAAATTACAGAAGAATCATTTACAACAATATATGATATTTGGGGGCTTCCAAGTTACTCGGTAAAAATTACAGAAGAATCATTTACAACCAAAATTGGGTGGCTGAATAGCACAAAGAAGGTTTGTTAGAGTGAACATAATGCAAAAATAAATAAGAACAAAATCAACTAAACATATAATTAAACACAATAAGAACTTGTTGTAACCAGCAAACAATTAGAGAAAGAACCAGCAACAAATCAACAACACAACACACAAGAGATCAGCAAAAAATCAAACACACGTCTTTGATTAACGTTTATGAGTTAATCAACAACACAACACACAAGAGATCAGCAAAAAATCAGACAAAAATCATATATATAACGACCAAAAATCAGATTTATAACCACCAAAATACAAATCTATAACCAGCAAAAATCAGAGAAAAAAATCAGCAATCAGATCTATAACCAGAGATCAGCAAAAATCAGGCAAAAATTAGATCTATAACCACCAAAAATCATATCTATAACCAACCAAAATCAGAGAAAAAATATCAGCAAAAATCAGAGGAATTTACCTTCATCGACGCAGAGTATTCCAATATCAATGTCTTTGATGAACAGGCCAGCCGATGAGGAGGCCAGCCGACGAAGAGGCCTGGTAGGCGATGAAGAGGAGAGGCGAGAGATGATGAAGCTCAGAGGCGATGAAGCTGAGGCATGAAGACAGGATTGAGGGGTTAGGATTTGGGTATTACTATTTATATGGGTGTCCAAAAAAATTGTCTTTTTAGTGCTAATAAGGTTCAAATCTTTGACCTCATTAAAATCAGGCACGCGTTAAACTTTTTTTTTTTCAAAAACATCTTTTTTTGGTTTTTGAAAATCGCCTCTCGTTTACAAAACAATGGCAGAAAAAAAAATCGGTTATCAAACGAGTTTTTTTTTCTTGTTTCTCTAAAAATCAAAATAAAAATGAAAAACGAAAAACGAAAAACGAAAAACGAAAAACGAAAAACGAAAAACGAAAAACGAAAAATGGAAACGTTAACAAACGGGGCCTAAGTGTTCTTGTTTTTATTGAGGTGTTTAGACAGTACCAACTCTTTGTTACTCCTTTATTATGATGATACGCACAATTTCATTTTTGGGATAAGTGTTCGGACGATGCATGGGGCATCCGAACATTGAAAACTTTATATCCAGACTTCTAGATCGCTCTTGACCTAGTTAGAAGTAGATTTAGAAAATTTTTATAAAATATACTTTTGTAGCCCTTGAAGTCTAGTTTTTACTTTCCAAAAATCAGATTAATTGGGTATTGGGATAAAAACTTGTAGCAAAAATACTAAGGTAGTGGTAAATTCTTTTCTATTGGAATTCTCTCTAAAATAGGTTTTTTACTTTAGAATATTTCTAAACTTCTAATACACCCTCGATAACCTATCCCAAGGTTTTTTGACCTTATGGATTCAATGGTAATCTTATTTTAACCTTCAAACGTTTAGAAACTTACCTAGCCACCATTTTCATGTTTATACACCTCTAAAACTATCGATAAGAAAGTCAATACGTGCGAAACCCAAAATTTATGATCAATCTTTCAATAATAATTCAAATTTTTTATCATCTTTTTGAAAGTACTCTTAATATCATGTTACTCATCTTTAAATTTTGGGGTCTTATAGGTAGATTGTTATTACATCCTGATCTAGATGACCATTCAATGTTGTCATTGCAGGCAGAGCATCATTAAGAGGATATACGGTAGGGCGTAGATACCCCACCTTTGCATTGTAGGCGTAGTGATCGCACCCTTGACAACTTCATGTTTGTGATAAGCGAGTCCTCTATATTTTGCTTATATTGGGGTTTTATAGTACTCACAAGGTCATGTAGAAGTGGCTCGATTGGCACCTCATCACAACACTAGTGGAAAGGTGGCATGTTGAGACACACACGTTTCACTTTCCTGTGGGTGAGGCCACTACCACACTACAGAATGTTGCAATACTTATTGGGCTACTGATCGATGGTACGCTGGTGTGTGGCATGGATAGTTGTCCAAAAGACTTAGCCAGCTCTGTGCTTGTAGTTTCTTAGTTTTACACCTGATGTGGGAGATATAGACGAATCTTTCCTCAAACTCAGTGCATTACGTGAACATTTGGATGGTCTACCAGCCAATGCCATTAAGGATTTCATAGCATGTTACGCCAGAGCATATGTAATGCTATTGATTGGTGCATATTTGTTCATAGACAAGTCATTGATCAAGGTTAAGCTCATTTGCCTTCCCTTGCTCGTGGATCTTACTGTTGTAAGCCAGTATAGTTGGGGGTAACGCTGCATTGCCCTTACTGTATCTAGAGATATGCATCGCGATTGGACGTGATGCTAAGGACATTGGTGGCTTGCTTGTTCTGCTTCAAGTATACTTCAACCATCATTGGTGTTTGTTAAATATTTTAGTATAAATTCATTGTAATGTGATTTTTGTACATTTGTTAATAATATTTCTTTAATTCATGTAGTTGTAGACATAGGAGCGCTTTTGTAGAGATTGCGCCCACGTCTACCAACAGCCCATGATTCAAATGATGGATCAGAGTTACATGCGGCGGAGGTCGCAACACATGATTCTCCCCAAGATTGCTCCTACATTAGATTCAAAGTTGTACATGCTTATTCCATTAGCCCTTCCTCAGCAAGCTCATGTGAAATGCGCTACATGTTGAACATGTTCAAGCATATGGCCATGCAATTGTTTTCTACCCAAAAATGAAAATAATGCTCTTTCAAGTTGTTATGGAGTATAAACTAGGATGAAAATGGCAATTTGCTGAGGCCTACGTATATTGCAACTCCATAAATCTTTGCTCAAAACCTCCCTTTCATTTACGCGATATTTCCACTCGTTCACCATTGTAGTGATGGCTATCTTAGAGTAATGTAAACGATGATTGATGGGGGTAATAGAACTCATCCTCTAGCACCTAATGGTAACCCATTGTTTCAAACAATGTACGAGGACTATAATTTATTTTGAAAAGATGATGTCCACTGTTTGAGTACATACGTCGAATAAATACTAACAACGTTTACAGTGACCATTGTGTGGTCACATCCATGTACAGTGACTATTGTACAGTCACGTCCCTCAACAGTAACAATTATGTGGTCACGTGTCTAGTCAG